CAGGAGATGACGCTTCTCTTTAGATCCTAATGTCCCCAAATCATGACAGAATTTTTTTTTTTTTGGCTACGTTCACACTGCAGCCTGAAGTGACCCAAATCCGATTTTTTATTTTTTGGCCCATATGCGACCTGTATCCGATCTTTTAATGGCTGTCTGAACAACACGGATGCGATTTTTTCCAATGCGACCCAGGCCACTTGGCTATGTGGTCGTGAATCCGATGCGAATCTTATCTTTTCAAATGCGACCTGTGTCTTAACAGCCAGCTCGCATTCATCCGACCTTCCAGTTTAACGTTAATGAAGCATTTTTAAACAAGTCCAGCCTTCTCTAAAATATTTCCTCTGCTTTAAACATTAGGGATAAAATGTTTGAAGTCGTAGGGAAATCATATTTAAATGTCAAATAATTCTCGCTTAAACATGTATATAAATTTACCCTTTATCAGATGATATTGTCCAAAATGTTGATATTGACGAAAATGTCTATTTAAAAAAAAAATACTGTCTTAAAATCTTTTCATCAAGCATCTTGATTCATATGTCGCAGCTAATATACGCAACGGTTGAAATTAGCATTTGGCATCATGGCAGCACTCTGCTGACATCAGATTTTCACACCGAATCCAAAAAGGTACAGACAACAGCCTTAGATCTGAAACACGCTGCGCTGTTCCTGAAGGGGGAGGAACTTCAGAGTTAATGTGACGTTTGTTTGAAGCCAACAGTTCACTTAAAAGGCATTTAAAAGACATCATGGAAGAAGCCCACAACAGCTGTGAAGCAGTGAGGTGGAGGGTTCTGGATCTGGGCTTGTCTGGGCCGACCAAACGTCCCTGTTCTGGACAGGCTGGATGACATGCAGAACCTGGAGAGGGTGTGAAGTAGCTGGAAGCAACGGAGAAGAGAATACGAGTGGAGTCGTGACATAACGGGATGCTGCTGTGATCAGCAGTGATCAGGAGAGATTCAAAGGAAACCAGAGGGCAGAAATACTAACAGGATGATTTCAAAAAAGGAAAACTGGTAAAGTTCTGCCTGCTGCATCAATAAGGAATCATTCAATTCAATTCAGTTTATTTCTGCAGCGGCGATTCGCAGCACGTCATCTCAGCACCGATGGTTAAAGTTAGAAGGTTTAGACCTCGATCTAATGAGTTTAGCAATGACTTCACGGTTGGTGGCTTTCTTGGCAGCTATCGTCGGCCGTGGCGCTTGTGTTCCAGGAAATGCTGAACATCTGCACCACCTGTCCGTCTGTCTCCTCCTGCTCTGGGTCCACATCCAGAACCTGCCCAGCAGACCGGCAGCTCAGAGACTGGTTCTGCTGCAGGTCTGTTGGATGGACAAGATCCATTCTTCTTTGTCTCTGATTCTGTCCTTTTCCTCCTTTCTGGTTTTTTCTCAGCATCAGGGAGAGAGAGGCAGCAGGAAGAGGTACCTGCCCTCAGATAAGGACCGGCCCGGTTCTCCAGCCAGCAAGAGGATGGCCATGTCCCCAGACCGAGGTGAGTGGACCATCATCATCCGCTCTGTGGAAGCAGCATCTGGATCAGCCCTCCACTGGTTTCCATCTGATCGATCCCTACCCGCTCACACTGGAAACTAGTTTGGGAAAAATTCTCCATAATTTAACCTTTTAATCATCTGAAAATATACCTGTTCCGCTGGTTCTGGTTCTGAGAAGAAGCTGTTTTGATGACGTATAAAGACTAAAGGGAATAGAGCAGGAGGTTCTGGAGGGCCAACAGGTTCTGGTTCTGTCAGGTTGGACCTGCAGGTGATGATTAATGTTGGAAGATGAAGATGGAGATAAACATGGTGGACATTTGTTTTCCTTCCAGATGATTTCAGGATGCAGACTGATCTCTGTTCTGCTTTTCTGTTTGCTGTCTTTTCTATCTGCTGTAGATCTGCTCTCTTTCAGCCACAAATGATTGAAAGTTTAAAGTTTCTGGCTCTTTAAAGGCGTTCATCAACCTTTCATCTATTTTCCAGGCCGTGATAAAAGGAACCCTGGCCGACCTCCCATGTCCCCCCAGATGGAGCGGCCCAGAGGGCAAGGGCCGCGCCCCCCCCTCTCACAGGGAGACAGGTTGGTGCTGTTTGTCTGCACGCGTCAATTCTGGAATTTCTTCTGTTATCTGTTCATCTGTGCGGCGGAGTAGAGCAGTGCAGGAATTTACATGAACGCATTAGCTTAGCAGAAATGAGGAACGGCAGCAAAAAGTGGAACCAAGCGGACCTCCCTGCAGAGCCTGAAATATTCAGCGATCTCTGCAGCAGAATGCCCCAGCATTAAACAGATCCGGTTTTAAACAACCGTTCCTTTCAACGCCAGAGAAATGGCCGAAACTGACCCGCCATCAGGCAAGGAGTAGTTTCTACGAGGAGGAGGAGGAGGAGGAGGCATTACAGTCTGTTTTTAAAAACGTGGGCTCCGGTTCACAGGAAGATCTGCTGCTGAATATGCTGTCTACGTTCACACAGCAAGCGCTTCCAGCAGCAGGAGGAGCGGGTTTACATGTTCATGAATTGTATCAACATGCATCGAAATGCACAACTGATTTTTTTTCTGCTACACCCAGCTACGCTGCTTCGCTTCTTCTTCTTGTTTACTACTGGCTGTTGGCTTTGGTCGCAGTACCGCCACCTTCTGCTCTGGAGTGTAATCGCTTCACCTATGAGAAAAAGGAGCAGCGCATGAACCGAACGAAACACAGACGAATCGAACCGAGACAGTCGAATAAACCGTTTCCATCCCTACAGCTCACTGCTCCCCAAGGGGATGGGTTGAAGAGGTACATTTCTCCAATGTGAGATCAATAAAGTTTAATTATTATTAAAAGGTCCTGCATGGTGTTTCGGGCAGAAGGCGTATCGCATCTTGACACACCTGAGCCGCCGAAGCAGCCCCTTATGATCTTCTGAGCATCTTAGGCGTGTGATGCCCTTCATAAGCAACAGATATACAAGCATTAAAAATCAAGCAGCAGACTTTTTATTTATTTATTTTTTTTGCTGCTGCTGAAATCCCGTTAGGTTGGAAGTGCTGATGGCGTTCCACCGGGTGTAGAGTCCAGCTCTGGGCTCTCTGACCCACAGGGCCAAAAGTGGACATGATGCAGAGGTCCAGCATTGCTCTGCCTGTAGCTCTTCTTACAGGTTCTATATCTTTCAGCTCCTGACTGATTATCACTGCACATATTCTCTTTCAATCCAGGATGGAGTCAGCCAAACTGGAACAGATCTGTGGACGCTTTTTCATGTGTGCAACAAAATTAGCAGCAATGGAGTTTGGAGATGCAATCTACTCCTTAAATCTATCTTTGCTCTCTTCTAATTTAACAATAATAATAATAATTCAAGTTTATTGTCATTCCGTGTGTTGCAGGCTATGAAGCAAATCTTTATGGATAGAAAAGTTTAAATTTATTGCTTAAATACATTTTTACAGCATTTGAAAAGATAATGAATGTTTGTGTGACCTCCATTTTCATATTTTTTGAAAAAGCTCCAAGGAGCTGCAAGAGGGGCATTAAAGAGAGAACTACAGACAATTAACTTGAAAAATA